CCAGTTATGCAACAAGGCTGAGAAAGTTAAAGACGAAAGTTGTGATAAAAAGTTGGGGTTGAAAAGCAGGGGGTGGAGCTCCTCCGTCGGCTCACACCGTCCGCGGCTTTCTCCCTCGTGGTGGGCACTATCGCCGGCTCTCGCACCTGGTCTGACGGGTTGAACTCAACTTCCGAGGCGATCCTCTGCTCAGTCGCTTGGCTTTGCTCTGGCTCGCAGCGGGAAATGGCTGTCCATCATCGGTGGGCTCAGGCTGATGCTCCGTACCGCGGGGAGATGGTGGGCTGGGCTCTGGGTCCAGAGTGGATCCGGCGAGATCCTCCACAGGGCAGATGGTGAGGGGAGACCTGTTTCTCGCCAGAGTCCACTCCACGAAGGCGGCGAATTCCTCCCGAGGACCATCTTCGGACGACAACTCGGTGTTCAGGCTTGCGTCATAGAAAGAGCAGAGCGCGTCGTCCGGATAGCTGGTGATGTTCGCGACCAACAGGAACAGTTTGGTATGGTCCTCGAGAGCTTGGTCTCCCTGCTCCAGCAGGAGGAGGAGGAATTTGGGGTGAGTGAAGGGATCCATGGGGACACAACGGAAAGAAAAACACTGAGAAAAAAACGGAAAACAAATGGAGGGGAAAACACGGAAGTTACTCTTTTGGTCGGTCCTTCTGTCACACTTCTCGGGAGGCAAGGAGCGAGGAACGAGGAAACACGGAGATAACTTCAATTCACAGTCTTTAATGATCACACGGGGACCGTAGGAGACACTGAAACACAAGGAATGACGTATGAGGACTGACAAACACTAACTGAAAAGACTGGGGCTTTTAAACACTGGGTGATTGGGAAAACACAGGTGCAAGGAATGACTAATTAAAGGGAACACGGCACACCTGGAAAGGGAAAACACAACACAAAGAGTCCAGGGGCGTGACAGCTACGAGTGTGATAAAAACACAGCATGGTTTTTAATGGTATTTATTGGGGGGGGGGCAACCCTCAGATGGGGTAGGTCCTGAAAATATATTTTGATGAAAAGTTTGGGGTCAGAAATATCATCAAGGATTCATTTATTTGGTCAAAAAACAGTAAAACTGTAATATTGTGAAATGTTATTACAATGTAAAATAACTGTTTTCTATTTGAATATATTTTAAAATGTAATTTATTCCTGTAAAGCAAATCTGAATTTTCAGCATCAGTCTATTCAACAGTGTCACATGATTCTTCAGAAATCACTCTAATATGCTGATTTGCTGCTCAAGAAAAATGTTTTATTATCACTTGAAAACCGCTGTGCTGCTTCATATTTTTGTGGAAATCATGATCATTTTTTTCAGGATTCGTTGATGAAAAGAAAGATAAAAAGAACAGCATTTATTTTACATTTCTTTTATAAAAGCCTAAAATCTCACTTACCCCCAACTTTTTATTCAGTATATGCTATACATGTAAAAATATATTTTGATGAAATCTACAGTTCAGTGGTTGTTAGTAATATTTATGGACAGAGAATTTCCATTTTCCATTTACTTGTGTTTCAGGTGGTTTATCGGTGACTGGTCAGAATGTGGGAAAACCTGTGACGGAGGCATCCGAACACGCACTGTTTTGTGTATCCGTAAAATCGGACCCGCTGAGGAGGAGACCCTGGAGGACAGCCACTGTCTGACCCATCGGCCAATAGAACAAGAGTCCTGCAACAATCAGTCTTGCCCACCCCAGTGGGTGACGCTGGACTGGTCTGAGGTGACTTTGTGTTCTTCATGTATCTGTATCCTCTAGAATGCCTGCCAATCTTTTAGTTTTAATATTATTGTGTTTTTGTTTATAGTGCACCCCAAAGTGTGGCCCTGGCTTCAAGCACCGCATTGTTCTGTGTAAAAGTAGCGACCTGACCAAAACCTTCCCATCAGCCCTCTGTTCTGACCAAAACAAACCTCCAGTCCGTATTCGCTGCAGCCTAGGACGCTGTCCGCCACCACGCTGGATCCCTGGAGAATGGGTACAGGTAATACAAGTTCACTCATCTCATCCACAGTCATTCATCCTGATGAGGACAGTTTAATTGAACCAGAACTTATAAATATCCCAAAAGGTGCCATGAAATCAGAATGTTTTGCTTTTAGCCTGTTTCTGTTAACTTTGAGTTCATCTGTATGCTATGAGTATATCTATATACAGTCTTTCGTTTCCAGAAAAAGGGATCAAATATATTAATGACTCTTCTTTAACTCATGGACTTAAACATTTTGTCCAATAAACTGCAAGAATGAGACTTCACCATTGAAACACAAATGAAGATCTTTTGAATGAAACCTGAGACATTTCTGTCCCTTCCACTATAACTTTTAAGCTTCAGAAAGTTCATCAAGAGATTGTAAAAGAAATCCATATGAAACAATCCGTTTAATTCAAGTCGTCTGAGGAGATACGATCATTTTATAATATGAACAGATTTCAGAGCACATCAATTATGGTAAATGGAAGCTCGATGGTACGTTTGTTTCTAAGATAAACTTAGATCTTATAGGGTTTGGAATGACATGAGAGTGACACTAAAAACTTGCCTCTGAAACTAATTTTCTGATACAAACCAAGCCCTCTTATTTTTTGGCCCCTCCCCTCCAATCATCTGGTAGCATTCTGATTTGTAACGCTCACTTTTACGATCTAATCATTTGAATAGAGTGCATTAGTGCCTGCCAACTTTTTCAGCACTGTTGGTTCCGAAAGTATTTTTTCCATTCATTTTTCCCATAGGAATTTTAAAAATTCTTCATTAAAGCGTTATAAGCCATGAACCAAACCAACCAGCTATAAGGTGAATCACAACATTACCAACTTTTATTTGAAACAAAAAATGGACAAAAAGGCAAAGGTACAAGACTGTGGCTATACGGCTATAGTGAGGGAAAGAACTACAATCCCATGAACCATTGCAAATAACAAATTAAAAATTATGGAGAAATATAAAACTATCCAAGTTGTTGACTGTGTATATAGAAAACAATATAATATATTATATAACATTATATTATTACATTATTATTATTATAATATATATTCAAATATTTAAGTATTTTGAGAGTGTGGGGAGACTGACTGGTTGCTTGCTGCTATTCTCAGATTGGTGAAATTTTCTGTACAGTATCATGGGTAATGTAGTTTTGATTCCACTGTTAAACACAATTATTTAAAAGATAAGTTGAAATAATGAAAACTACTGGCTTCAACAAAAGTGTATACCACCAAAAGCATATACCATCGATTAAGTTCACAGTAGGTCTGTCCTTAAAGGTATATAAATTACTGTACATTTTTTTTTAAATTTTACAGTTTCCCTATAGAGAAAATTAATGGCATTTTTACTTTCAGAACTTGACTGTTGCACTCTCAAGTAACATGCTACTTTTTTCTCTCATTGAATATTGCTTCACTTAAAATTGGTTGTGAAAACCGTTCAGGTTAACTATAAACTACACGCAAATTCAGGCTTGAATATAAATAATTCAGGTGTCGTTATGATTTAGAACAAATAAAAAAGTTTGTCTTTACAAATGTATTCCACAGCATTCCTGGTCCAAAAATGCAAAGGCTGAGTAAAGACTGTTTTAATACAGCATGAAAAAGACCATGTGTTTAGTTGACGTCAATAGAATTTACACTCGCGTGATAAACTAGGGTCTCTGGAAAGCCAGTGACGTGTTTCCGTGAGTGACAGCGAGTATAACAGCCCAAGAGTGTGTAAGTGATAGTAATATCATCCAGATTGTTTGAAGTTAATCTCTTCCGTAGACAAGGTTTTCTGTCAATGCCAAGAATATGTTTTAAAAAAGAAAAAACATATCACTCTCAGACCGATCCAGTGGTTTCTCTCTTTAAAAAAATGTATACAATCAGAATAACTGTAGTGGCTTATAGTAAATCTTTTTAAAAATGCCACATAAATATGGACAGGTAATATTCAATAAGGAAAAAAATAAAGGGCAGAATATTATCTTATCCATCAGGAATTGATTTCTTTAAATGGAAAGTTGAAAAATAGAGTCCTGCAGTGTATTTTTGTAGACCAACCCAGATGTGTGCATTTTTGTTTGGTTCCCTCGAGAAAAACCCAATAGGATTTTTCCATTGGCTTTTGGATTTACTAGAGAAAATAAAATCTATAACCAACATAAGTTTATGATTCTTACACGTTTTGGTCATTGTGATAATCTTCAGCTATTATATTTTGAAGCTTAAATACAATCTCTGTAGTCCCATTTAGCCACTTGTTAGAAACCGCTTTTTTTCAAGACAAGTAAAACCTTTAAAAAAAAATCACAGTGGGGTATTACTAATGTATTTCATGTCATACAAAAAAATATGAAAATATCTTGAGATTGTGTTCATCACAGACCTTATTTCAGGCATATAACCCAAAACACAATCAAAAAACCCATTGACTTCAGGAGTGTTAGAATGCAACTCGTTTCCAAATAAGACAAGGAATGCATATTAATATAATATGATATAATATAATCAATATTGGCTTCAAAAAAAAAAAAGGTGAAACTTTACAATAAGGTTCATTAGTTAACAGTAGTTAACTGTATTTGTTAACATGAACTAAGCATGAACTATACTTCTACAGTATTTATTGATCTTAATGTTAATTTCAACATTTACTAATACATTATTAAAATCAAAAGTTGTGCTTGTTAACATTCATTAATGCACTGTGAACAAACAATGAATAACTGTATTTTCATTAACTAACATTAACAAAGATTACTAAATACTGTAACAAATGTACTGTTCATGGTTTGTTAATGTTAGTTAATACATTAACTAATGTTAACAAATGACACCTTATTGTAAAGTGTTACCAAAAAATAAAATAAAAATTGTACACCACTTATAAGCAACAATTAAGATTACAAGATCAACAATAATTTGATATGAAAAATATATCAAACTAACAAAAGTCCAGATTTATCCGTCTAACTGAATGAAGCTACAACTACTGTAGTACGAGTTACGCCATCCCATGATTCCTGCGGTGAACTGGGACTCTCATAATGGACTGGCTGTTGAAGAAAGCCGTGGGCCAAAAGGTCACTGGTTCAAATCCCACTTAAGGCCCTGACTGACATATCCCGTCTGCCAGGGGCTCGCGCTCTAATAAAGTCTGTTTAATTTGAAGGAGATGAAATGGGAAGGCTGCTGGAAACTCATCTGAGATGTCCGCACTCCCAGTCCCGTGAGGGGTCCTTCACGATGGGTCTTACACGTGTTTATGACTAAATCCACATCAGATCCATGTCTTGGCGTGCGACGTCAGCGTTTCTGTGGCATTCACACTAGGCGCTAAACAGCAGTGACTAATGAGCAAAATTTGTGTATTGTATTAGGTTGCTAAGCAACTCTTAATTTTCCATTGAATCACTGAGCTACATCATGGTAGGAGACTACTGGAATACATCTAAGTTTTGTTTCAGACAGTCGCAATTTACTCCCTCCAGCAATGTCGAGACCTCTAATGTAGAACAGCTGACAGTAGTCAGAGATTCAATTAAACTATTACAATGACATTTTGCAAGTAGCTCTCGCTCCTTAGTTTTGAAGCACTTATCCTATGAGAAGAGTCTTCGCTTAAATATTCACAACAGCATGTGTTGATTTGCTATGACAGACGCTTCAGACTGTGAGATGACATCGCGCATGTTAACTGAGAGAAACGTTGATGGATGGAAGAAGTGTGTTTGTTTTTGCTTTGTAATAAGAGTTCGGCACAAACTCGATTCATTCACTTGGTGAGCATAACCGTTTTTTACAGCTCTGTGACACAACCCGTCAAAAGGCTTATATAAACGCCACAGAATAAACCTTAAAAGTTCTTAGAGGTGCAACAGCACGTTCATATGTTTTCGATGAGGAGTGCAAATGGCATTTATTTGTGTTTTTAACTCGATGGGAGCGAAATGAAACTGTCTGAATGCAAAGTTGTATGTGTTGTTTGTCTGTCTCCCTTCTTCCCCCTCCTCCACTCCGCTGCGCACCACGCCTACTTTTTTAGCATTTTTTAAAACTGTGGTGAGAACTAACCAGTGCTGAAAGGGGGGGGGGGTTCACGACCCTTTAAATACATAAAGGATATTTGTGTTATTTATCATTTAATTATTACAGGTTTGTGTCATGTTCTGAGTTTGCATTTCACAGTTTTTATTCATTTTGAGAAATACTGAATTCGTTTTTTTGCAAGTGAGATGAGTAAATGCATGTTCACATTTAGTCTAGATATACAGTAAGCATCATATTCACACAGCGCACACAACACCTCTGCATTTACTGGAGAGCTGTCAGTCAATAAAAGGGAAAACAAAGTAACTGGCATTACTTATTTGAAAAAGTACATTAAAAAGTAATGGGTAAAAAGTAACCTGATTACGTAACTCACGTTACTTGTAATGCGTTACTCCCAACACTGTTCTTGACTAGAATAGGTCACAAAGTGGACAAGACTTTATGTCTGTAGACAAATGGGTTGAATATATTGTTCTTTATACAATTTTGAACCAGTTACCAAAGTCAAACTTAATTGACTCCTTGTGGCAAAGTGGCTTGAAATATATTAACCTTGCTTTTTATTCATACATGTTCTTCACTAATACGGTTGTCTTTAAAATACAGTACATTTTGTATTGTATAGTAACGTTTTTTTGTGCTTTAAGTGGCACTAGAACTGTGTAATTTGATCATTTTAGAAAAATATGAATTCTTTTCAAAAAATAATTATTAAAATGATTTATTTCAGTCTTTGTTTGCATTGTCAGTTTTAACTATGTAATAATTTATATTCTTCTAATTGATTTTCACGATTTATAATTGAAAGTCTCGGTCTGAGGCACTGGTAAAACAAATCTATGGTTAAAAGTCAATTGCAAAGTAATAAAATAAATGTTGAAGGCTTAGTGAAATGTTTTGACCTTATAAGAAAAAAAAGAAAAAGTTTAAATAAAATCAACAGCAGGTCCCAGAGGATTAAGAAACTGCTTGTAAAGTTATGAGTATCCATTTTGGTTATCGTCAGTTATTATTATTATTATTTTTTTTTTTAAACATTGCCATTATCTAACAAGCATTAATTGAATCTTTAAAGAGACTAATAATTTATCATTTCTTTCAGTCACTCTTCTTTTTAAGGTCTCATTATTTCCTAACTATTAACTGTGACTTTTGCCTCAAACTCCTAATTACTGTTTAGTAATAGTTAGTATGGGATAGGATTAAGGGATCTAAAATATCAGGCCTTAATATGTACTTTATACATGGGTCAAAGACGTTAAGATGTCCGCATCAAAAGAAATTTACAAAAGTGATTTTATGTCCATAGAAAGCACATTAAATGTAAGTAAAGTGTCTACTTTTAAGGTTTCAAATAAGTTTTTGGAGAATATAATGTCAAAATTTGGTTGAAATAATGTTACATTGTCATTCAGTGTAACAATATTTATGTAAAAATTCAAACAACATGCTTATTCTGATGTGTACATTAAAATATATAAAAGAATAAGAGAGCATATAAAATTTTATTGTGTTTTATACAAGTACAAAATTCTTTCTGACAAATGGGCAAAACCTAGGATAGTGGCAAATTTTAAAAATGTAAAATTACAACTAATCAGTATTTGGGGTGAAAGTAATTAGTCTTTTAATATGTTGTAAATTGATTTTTGTTGTAAATATGTCCTGAATGACATTTTAGTGGGTCTCTTCTGTAAATCAGGGAAAAATGTATGATATTTATTTTTTGCTCAGAAAAACAAAAAAGATTGCGATTAAATTAAACAGAAAACGTTTTTAAAAAAATTGGGGGGGGGGGGGGCAAAAACAATTTAAAGCAGTATTACACTTATCGTTTTTATGCTTAAACCCTTTTTCGTCTTTGACCCACATACCAAAAAACAGCCAATATGCTAATAATATGCATACTAGTTAATAGTGAGAATTGCTCCTTAAAAAAGCATTACCTTTCTTTCATATTGTACATTATTATGTACTTCATAAAATTCAGTGGTACTTCAGTGGACAACTGATTTTATCTCATTAATTTAGAAAAATATGAAATGTTAAAATCAACTGATTGATTAACAGCTTTTCAGTCGTAATATCTCTGCATCCCTAGTTCTGACGTAGGTATTAGAGGCTATACTAAAGGCTCGCTGTGTGTTTTTACAGTGCTCTGCTCAGTGTGGACTAGGGCAGCAGATGCGGATGGTTCAGTGTCTGTCGTATACAGGACAGCCCTCCACCGAATGTCCAGAGTCACTACGGCCCAACACCATGCAGCAGTGTGAAAGCAAGTGTGACGCTACACCCATCTCCGGTGGTGACGGTAAGTCAGTCACCCTTCCTCTAATCCCGTGAAAGAGCGGCGATGGCTTATGAGCATTTCATACGAGCTGCAACTGGCTTTGATCACAGTGTTGACATTTACAAAGTTTGTGGCCTCTGCATTCAATTTTGAATCAACAAAGGATTATATTGTTCTGTTCTTGCCTGTTATTAAATACTTCAGTTTGGAAATGAGACGGGGCAATCCTGGATTCAATAAAAGTTCCATGACCCTTGCGAGATGGATCCCTATTCAGATTCCTTCACCGGGGAAGCAGCGTCTCCTAATGGACCCTAATAGGATTAGTTGTGTCCTAATCAACAGCAGTGACAGAATGTCTACTTTCATTGTCTTTAGCCATGGCAGTTTAAAGACTCTAATAAGGAAGCCATTAATTGAGGTTGGGCCAGTTAGCACCATCAGCACACTGCCATACTAATGCAGATGGCCGTCTGCCCACACTGTGAATCAGGTCGCTCTCTTTTTACGCTTAGATGCTATAATTACCATAAGAGGCTTGTGTCCAGGCCCTGAGTCATGGCCTCTTTTGAAGAAGGACTTAAGAGTTTTGGCTTTGACACAAAGGAAGTCTATTAGATTTCCAGTGCTGCAGGGTCATGCGAGATTCTGTCCCTGTCCTACAGAATCCCCCTTGGACCCGAAAATAACTTTTAATTGGTACTCTATTCAGGGTACCCACAGAATCGCTGTTTTGACGTTTCATGTAAATGTAAATACAACGTTTAAAATCTTTTGACTGTTCGAGAGATACGGGCACATATTTGTGATGATTTTCCCAACGCCATAGTGTCACATTTGTGATTTTAGACCAGTTAGTGGCGTGACCATCAAGCTGCTAGGTTCAATTCAGATTTCGCATCTACCCAGAGAAATACGATGCTACTGGCTAACCGACTGTCCTTCATTTTCACACAATTGATGTTCTAAAGCATAATGTTTATTTAATGTTACAGATTCAACCACACACGATCACAGAAGTACTACAGTAAAAGTTTACTGTGCATGCACAAACACTAATGTCTATGGAAGTCCGTTTCTGCCACTGAATAAAAAACTAATAAAAAAGGTTATTGCGACTTTTTATCTCACAATTCTGACATTTTTTTTCACAGAATTGTGAGATATAAACACAATTGCGTGATATAAACTCACAATTCTGACTTTTTTTCTCAGAATTGCGTGATATAAACACATTTGTATCATGCAATTATGAGAACAGAATTGTGAGATATAAAGTCACAATTACCTTTTTTATTTTTTATTCAGTGGTGGAAACAGGCTTCCATAAATGTTAGCAAAATAATTCAATGTGTGCATCCATGTCCGTTTACAATAAAGATGTGCTTCATGTGCTTTAAAAACTTGCAAGCTAACCTGTTAGCCTACTAGCTTTGAATAGTGTGGGCAGTTTTACCCTAAATGATTAGCTTACCATACTGTGATACATTTTTAAAGCAACCTATGGGGGTCCTATAGTGATAGAATCTTAAACAACAAAAATTAAAAGTGGAAATTTGTCATGTTGCATCTGATTAGGACAACATGTAACAAGGTCAGAATAGACAGGAAGTAAACATTAGCACAGGCCAGATTGTAAAACATTCAAGCATGACAGGACAGTGAGATTTATATGGGCCGCTAATTTTCATCCATGCCATGAAGATGACAAATTCTTTCCATTGGTGCTCCCTTTCACTAGCACATGCACTGCACTGATTACCACCTAGATTCACACAGACATCTGAAATATGACTCGCATTCTAAGAACCCAAAAGGTTGTCCTCAGTGGAAATCCAAATATGCTTTTCATTAAAAATAATGAGGGATATGAAGTGAAATGAAAAATGAAATTAGTAAAACGTTCTTCGTTCTTCCATGCAGTCGATATAGAAACTCAAAGACTAGTTTCGAAATGCTAGTTTGTCTGTAGTTTCATTACTTTAAAATAAAAAGCTTGTTCAGTTTCAACGTAGCTGGTCTTTATTGCTTTGAAGAGCTCATCAGATATTTGAGATAGAGAGTTGGGCCCAGTTGTAGGTCCAGCAGCCTCTGGGATCTGTATCAAAGTCCTAAGTCATTGTTCGACACAGACCTGCCTGTCATATAAGGAGACCGTTCACCCAAAATTAAAAGTCTGTCATTATTTACTTGCCTTCATGTCATTCTAAACTCATTTGGCTTTTTTTTCTTCCATGCAACATAAAAAACACACCTGAACCAGCTAATCAAGGTCTTAATAGGCATACTAGAAACTTCCTGGCAGGTGTGCTGTCCTGGACCGAGTTTGGACGTCCCTGATATAGACCCTCGACCCCTCGATTTTTACTGAGGGTGTGAGTCTACTTCATACGTACACTTCGATAGCTTCATATACCACAATGCAACATGATTGTGACGTCACTGCAGATAGTTTAATTTACCCCCACCCCAAACAACTCTATGATATAATAATTATTTTTATTACAGCCCAAACATACCTGTATACATATAGAATGCTGCTTAAAACAAATTTGTAAAGGAAAAAAATTAAATAATAAATCAACTCCATAGCAGATTCCAAGTGAGGAGTCCACTAGTTGTGGGGACTCGTGCAACATAATCAATGACATACACTCGATTCAGTGAAATGAAGGGAAGTTAGTGAGGGAAGGGCATACAAAACGAAGTTGTAGGGCCATTTGGCGCTTTTCGTGCTGTGCATTTTATGCTATTGTGTCGTTAGCTTAACCACATGCTACTGGAATCAATTGTGAGTCATGTTTACTGTGCACTTTACGAATGCTATTTGATGGGGTTGTTGCCTACATAGTGTTCCAAATCAGTAAATAGGTTCTATTCCAGTTACGATGCTGCTTTAGGCCTGAAATATACTCTACACAACCACAAATGCAAACTTATAGCTAAGCTCGATTTTACGAAATGTGTTGGACCACGTTGCATTCTTAGCATTGCCACAAATGGTGCTGTATTGCACATTAATGTAAAATATTGTCTTCTAGAGTCAGTCTCTTCAGGTCAACTACTGTCATGGTGGAGTAACAGAGAAAATCTCTTAAAGTTGATATGCTTATAGTTGAAAGGATGAGTTTGGTGAGGTTTGTTACTATCAGAGCAACTCAAGACCACACATGTTAGCATACTTGCCTAAGCCATGTTTCTTGACATGAAAATGACATAGAAAAGCAGCTCACTGGGTTTTGGAACAGAGCTTTTTTCTCTTTCTTTCTGTCCTTTTACTTCACATTGGTTTAAGTTTGTCCATCAACTACATGTTGCATTGTTCCATCATCCATGACTGAGTGACTTTACCCTGCTCTCTCTTAGCTAAGGAAACGGGACCTCAATTTTAGATCTCACCTTTGTTAAGGGACACAATAGATTATTGTTATTAAGGAGTTATGGGACATTTTTATGTTTTTAATCATACAGCCATTCTACTTTTGCTGCTGCTACACTTTTGTAGCCACAAACACAATATTAATCGATTATGTATTATGAAATGTTTATACTGGGATCATTCAACAGTGAACAATGAACAGCAGAACTGTAGGCCCAACTTTCTGAGCGTCCTGATATTGTGCTTTGTAAAATCCTAAGGCTTGAAGTACAAGTTTACTGGCTTTGGGACACGGACTCTCAATAAGACACTCAATGAAACTGGTACTGATCGCTGTGAACTTTTGTCTTTGAATGTCACATTGTTTAACATGTACCTATAGAAGAAAGTTTTGAATTTTTGTGAATAGTTGCTTACATTTTATATTCAGTATTATTAATGTTGGTACACTGTTACTAATTTTTTTTTTGTTGGTAAATTATATGCTAATTTATTGCCATTTGTCACTTGTTTTATGTATGTTTCACTGCATGCAAACTGAAATCTTGTCTAGTGAAAACAATGCAGTGGAATAACACCCTTCACGATCTTGTTTTAGTCTTGGTAAAATGTGAGTTTGAATGGGTCTTATTTGCTACTAGAGTGCTCTTAAAACTACGTCAGAATGCTTTTGTGTGAGTCGGTGCGTTTGAGTGTGTGTATGTTGGTATGGTATTACTGCACTGTCTCTCGAGGACCAGTGCTCACAAAAATAATAATAAAAATAAATAATGGTAAATAGTGTCAAAGGGTAAGGACAGAAATATTCCCATAGTAACTTTAACATTCTCAGTCCTTCGGCTTGTACCCTTGGTGAATCCAACATGTAATGGATCTTGAATAAAATTACTTTAAAAGGGTTGTGTTAAGATGTTCTTTCTTGTGGTCTCCCACAAATGGCTCAAGTATATATCTAAATGAGTTTACTGCCTGAGAACAACGGGCTCTTTCATTAAAGGGATAGTTCACCCAAAAAGGACAATTCTGTCATCATTTACTCACCCTTGTGTCGTTCCAAACCTGAAAGACTTTCTTTCTTCCGTCGAACACACATTAGATATTGATGAATATCCAGAGAGTTCTGAATCTTAAAGATTAAAAAAAGTCAGGATACAGGTCTACTTTTGAATGGCTATGAATGGAAAAAGGGCCAGCGGGTAGGAGCTGTGCAGGTTAACCTCACTCCCCTTGTTAGTGCGTCCACCTCCCATGCCGAAGACCCGGGTTCGAGACCCACTTGGAACAAGAACGAGGTGTGGCGGTGAGGACCCGGGAGAGATGAGTTACACTAACAGGCCAAACCTTGAGCCCCTGATGGAGATGGACTTGATTATGTTCTTCGCAATGCTTCATGGAATTGGGCTTTTGCTGCTGAACAATTTGCTGCAATTTCTGCTCCCAGCTACTGATCTGAATGGAATTATGGGTAGTGTAGTCCTTACTGGGGATTTGCCTATCAAGCACAACACTCTAGAAACATTTATCATCACTTATAACACAGCTTTTTGGAATACTTGTTTCTGATTGGTCAGTTGCAGCATGCAGTGGGCAGATATTATATAATATTCACTGTTGTCAGCAACGCTGTACATCAGGCAGATCACTTTGTGCCTCATACCAGTCAGCAGACTTGCT